AAGCACTTTCTCCCATTTCCAGACACATTAATCTAAGTCCATCTCCATATCCTGATAAATATTCTAGGTTTGCTTTCCAGCCATGAGCATATGAGAAAAAGCATAGTTATAAGAGCCTAATAGTTTTAAATTCTGGTATAGGTCAATAATAAATATGCAAAAGCCATTCCCTCCACATGCAATCTCAAAAAGAGACTTTAACAGTTAAACTCTGCTATGTTAAATTTAGGCGAAAATACCAAAAAACGCGCCGAGCTTAAGTGGTTAAACAAGAAAACAGTTCCTTCGTCCACTATTCCCTTTGGACAGTATGAACGCTTTACATGGGTTTACTATACCTAATACGACTTTAATATTTTAAGAGAATGTTTGCTTCGTCCTTCCTTGTTCTGTCACTGCAAAGTTGAATATGTCGGCATGGAAAGAGAAGCTAAGGAGAGTTGAAAAAGAGTTAAAGGCAGAGACATTAATCAAGTGTGTCCGGCGAGTCAGTGTTTTGTTCTTTGAACTGAAAAACAGGTCAGCAGGGTCCAGTTCTAGTACACAAAACGGAAATGCCCGAAGCAGAACCACGGAGCGCTTGGAGAATAGCAGTGGAGCTCGAGATGTACTCAAAACCCAAAACTACAGCAGGCATTAATCAAGCCGAACCGGCCATGACAGTCCCAGAGGAAAACAACAGGCGCTGTGATCACTCATGCACCGGATTAAACAATCGCTGACAGTCATTAGTCTGTATTCTGTTGCTGAACTTAAACATTGGCTATGCTTGAGAAACTGCAGTATCTTTGTTTTAACCTTGTGCAATGACATGAAATTTTACTTTTTTTTCAGGAGCTGACATATCCTGCCATGTGACATACAACATTGAAATCTTTTTAAACAGCTTTTGCTATTTAGTATATATAATAATTTAATATAATATTAAATATAACAATGAAATTAAAGTCAAGATGGGAAGACTACATGGAAAATGTATACATTCAAAATGTTTGCTTTCCCATTTGCTCCAATAAGGGGAAAAAAGCTCTCTGTAATTCTGTAAATATGTAAAAAAAAAAAAGAATGCAAAAGAAATACAACACAAAATACAGTGTTATAATAATTCATTCCTTTTAAATGAAAATTTGACGGTAATAAAAAATTTTGCTTTAATA